GTGGCCCAGATCCCCTTCTGCCTCCTCTTGCAATTCCCTCTCTGAGCCTGTGATTCTGTATAGTGGAGACCTTTGGTGATGCAGTTCCAGAAACAGGGGAAGTTACATTTTGCATGGCATCTGCCAGCTTCTGCCAGCTGCGGGGGCATCCTTTCCTGTTCCTGTGTCATTCCACCAGTTGCCTTTTTTCTGTCCAGACATTTTTGGGAGTGGACCTGGCAAAGGGGCGGCAGTGGCGGTGGGGACAGTCAAGGGCTCCTTCTTTGCCTTCATAGCGACTCCCGCCCCCCCCCACTCGCCCTCGGTGACGATCCCCAGAATGTGGGTTCAGCCAAACCACAGAGAGGGATTGTTGGTTTGTGTTAGGACAGGCGTGCTCCGCATGGCTTGCAGGACAGCTGTTTGCCTGCCCAAGAAGAAGGCGAGGGCACAGCCTGGGGTCGGCAAAGGTTCCCCCCGTCCTGCCGCCAGTCTCCCCACCTCTCTCAGCTGTGGCCGTCCTTGCCTCTTCCCGGGGCGGAGGCTCGCTTTGTGAGCAGGGTGCGTTTTTCTTGGGGGACATGGCCCCCCAGGAGCTTTAGGGAAAGTGGGAGAGGCTGGAAAAACGGCTTCTGCCTGCTGGAAGGGCACAAGGTTGCTGGTGGCCGTTGTCGTTAGTTAACCCCTTAAGACGAGGGGAGAGAGAAGAAATGCAGGTGAAAAAGAATTGAGGGAGCATTCCAGCCGCCTTGTTTCAACCTTTGGCTGGCCAGCCTGAAAGGATAAGGGTGGGCCCTTGCCAAGGCCCTCCAGCCTCTGAGGAGAGGAGGAAGCGAGGGGCGGTGGGTGAGGGGGAGCCCGTCTCTGCTTCTCCAGGTGGCCAGCTTTGTTCTCTCTTCCCAGGGCAAAGCCCCGGCGCCAGCCCCGGCCCCAGCCAAGAAAGCCAGCGTGGACCTCCTGGCTGACATCGGGGGAGACCCCTTCGCTGCCCCCCAGCCTGGACCCGCCTTTACAGCCTTCCCTGCCTTTGGGAGTGAGTGCCGGCCCTTGCTCTTTGCTGAAGCACTTCTCCCCCCCCCACGCCCGAGGGCAGCTGGAGCCGGATGCATCAGGGTCAACTGGGGAGAGAGCCGGTGGGGGGGGAGCCCTTCTCCTGGTGTGGCTGAAGGTGGCCTGTCTCAGAAACGGGCCCTGCCCTGAGGAAAAGGGTGCAGAGGAAAACCGTCGCAAAGACTGACCCTTTTGAGGCGGTCTGGTTTGGGTGTGTGTGTGTGAACAGATTCTAAAGCCTTTGGCTGGCGTCCTGTCCAGCGGCAGCCGAGTAGCGCAAACCTCGTAGGATAGGATGGTGCCGCCAGAGACTTCCTGTTTGAATTGTCCTGGGCTTGCGCTTCCAGAAGGAAGCAGCCGGTGACCTCTTATGCCAGTGGCGAGAAAGTCACGGGCCATCATGTGACATGAAGGGTTTGAGGGGGAAAAGTGTCCTGGGGGGGCGGTCGAAGCAGATAAATGGGAGGCCGGAGACGAAGCAGGGCAAGGGTGGACTCCCCCTCATTCGCCTCTCAAGCCAGGTCCGTGGGTGGATTGGGGCCACGGGGTGGATTTGGGGCAGCCGGAAGGGAGAGGAAAGGCCTTGGAGTACTGGGTGATGAAGGGCGGGCGTTTTGTGCCCGGTCGTGCGGTGACGATGGTTCTGAGGAGCCGAGAGGGCTTTCAGAAGGGTCCAGAAAAGTTACCCCTGGGGGAGAGAGGTGTCCATCACGGTTCTTCTGAGGGCAGTCCAGGGGCTTCTCCTTCCTGAGGCATTCAATCTCAGTGGCTGGCGGGGGGGGGGGCAGGCTCTGCTTGTGCGATTCTTGGGGGTGTCTGACTCGCTTCTGTAGGATGCAGGAGAAGCTGGGGGCCTGGCCTAGCCTGACCCAGCACCGCTTCTCATACGGCCCCTTGCTCGTCTTCCTGACTGAAGTCAGGGTTATCGGGCCTGGGTTCTTTCGCCCTGATTCCTGGCTTACCTTCCACCGATGTCTTCTGCTCCCTCAGGCCAGGTGCCAGCCCACGCCGCCTTCACCACATTTGATGCCTTTGGCGGAAGTCCCACAGCCTCAGCCTTTGGGGACACGGTGGCTTCCAGCCACAGCCCCTTTCAGAGTCAGTCCATAGCAGCAGGTAAGGCCCCTGGAGGTCTCTCCGCCTCTTCCTCTTCCTCTCAGAACCTGGGCCTTGTAGTCCATCTCTCCCCCCCCCCCACTATGCCCCCCTTGGGGGAATCTGTATAGTGTCAGGGCATCCCACACCCTCCCCTTTCCCTTTTCAGGTGGCACCCACATGGGCGGATTCCCCGCCTCCCCTGCCAGCCGACCAGGAGTGGGCCTTCCTGACGTGGCTGGGGCCTTCCACGTGGGCGCAGTTCCAAGCAGGTAATCTT